GTAAGACATGAATTTGGAATTTGGAATTTCGCATTTGGAATTTGGAATTTGGAATGAGCCTTCTGGGCTTTCGTAATAACGTGTGTACCTTTATAAATTAATTTATTTTTTAAAATATCATATCCTACTTGCACAGTTATGGCCCGCGTGTCACAGTTATTAAATATGAATAAACAATGCAATATAATATGTGGTAACATGAAGACAGAATAACTCAGAACATCACACCTAGACAATATTTCTAATGACACATAACCCTTGTAATTTTTTGTTAAATTTATGACAAATTCGCACGTAGTCCTAAATAGACGTTCTTAGTCGTAGGCCTATATATATCAGATCAGAATATAGTAATGAATTATTATACGTATTGTAAACTGTATATATATAAAGCCATACATTATTTCTGACAGTTATTATGAAGATTTACCGTGTGACTTTATTTGTATTGCCTATATTAATGTTGATAACGGATATGGTTGTCCTTAAATAAAATATAAGGGTTAAGAGTTTGGTCAATTGCCTAAGGGACGAGTCGAAACTAATTTACCACCATCAAGATGTGTTGAGGCGTAGACTCGAGTTATTGTCATTAAATCATGATAACGTGGTATTTTCCAACCTGTGAGAACTCTATCTCTCTAGTATATATTAAACGCTCAGAAAATATTAATTCGAATAAATTTGGTCCAATACACAAATCATTTAACAATTTATACATAGCATCTTTACTAATAATTTATAACGGTTTGAATTTTGCAGTAAAAGAAAACAAGTTATACTAGATTATCACTAAATTATACATCAATTACAAATATACAGTAAAGTAATGTGTGTTGTTGATCTTGACTTTATAAATTGCCAACAACGGGAGTGAACCCTTTCCTCCCAGTGATCGAGCAAAATGCTGACATATGCTACCCGGACAGCAGCTCAATTTCTGTCCCATCTGAACGACTGAACATTATACCTTGCTCCCTCAAACGCCTGATCACCACACAGATTCGGAATCTACGCAAAAAACTGGTCTAGTAAAACTTGGTCTCATAAATTCACAGCTCGGGTGGCGACCCCCCACCCCCTTCAGTCACCGGACTAGTAGGAAATTTTGCGGCCTACTCTTATATCGAATTCCAACTGTCAAGAGATCTTTTACGTGCACGCCAATATGTACACGGGACCTCGGGTTTTCGTCCCATCTGAACGACTAAACAACTGGCCTTGTCAGGCCCTCCATCCTGCATCACTGACAACGGGGAATCATGCTGGAAGTTACTTTAAAACAGCGCCACAGGGGAGCTTTAGTTTTAATGGTATTCGATGAAGATGTCATGCAGACAAAAGATGTGTTATTAGTAGGGGAGCTAGCTGACCGTTGTTCGCGGACAAAATTGTCACTATGCCTAACGAAGGCACCATGATGGCCGATGATCAGAATGGGAATACTTAAGATGCACATCCCCTGGGTTTAGGGGCTGTACGCCCCAGAAATCGCGGGAAAAGTTGATCTACTTCAAACTTTGGCGGACAAAGTTAATCTTCGCTACATATGTTCACGTTGCTAACGCAAACTTTAAAAGTGCCCTTCAGAACAAAAAAATTCCCCTGGCCTCTGGTTTTAGAACGCTCCCTAGTGACCCGAGTACGTAGATTTATTTCAAATATGATGGACAACTTTGATTCCTTTTTCAGTATTTGAAGTAAATCGACCTTTTCCGCGATTTCGGGGGTGTACAGTCCCTAAACCCAGGGGATGTGCAACTTAAGAAACCCCATTCTGATCATCGGCCATCATGGTGCCTCGTTAGGCATAGTGCCAATTTTGTCCGCGAGTTTAGGAACAACGGTCAGCTTGCTCCCCTACTATATATAAATTCGATGGCACACAATTGCATACTCAATAGAGGATATTTGTCGTTTTAGAGTGAATAACATATTTTATTTCATTGAGAAGCAAGAAAACTTATATTTTCACGAATGCATAGCATGAGTGAAAATATAAACGTTTTCTTGCTTACAGATGAAATAAAATATGTTATTCACGACAAAACGACAAATGTTCTATTTATTTTATGATTTTACAATCATTTTAGGTAAAAACAATTAACATGAACTACTTTAGCCAGTGGAATAACACTTTTATTTCACTGATAAAACGCGGTATTCCACTACTGATCATAAAATAAAATGACTTATTTTCACTGTAATAGCCAAAAACACATATTTTGGCAAACAGTTTAATTACACATAACCAATATTAAAGGCGCTGGGCCATAATCTATCTTTTTTTTAAAAAGTTGCACAGTACCTTGTTTATAATCTGATTTTGAAAAAACTTTTAGAATATGCACCAAATGACTCAATTTATCGTTTGTCATTGACATTTTACCTGATTTCAAAGTCTTACACTAAACCCCCCCCCAAAAAAACCCTCCAACAAAACTTCAATTTTATGCCGTCACTTTAAAAAATTCTAGGTCAAATATCAAAATTCTAAACGTATTGATCAATTGCGAATCGTGAATGCTTTCCAAAAATATGACGATATTGAAAATTGGATAAAGATTGTATCATGAGTAGGATTTTAAAGATTGACTTACATTTTGAAAATGGTGGCACTTCCGATGAATTTTTACTTGAAAAGATTACTCTAAAAAGTTGATAGACGACTCCTATTGACATATATTTTTAAATAAGACAAATTTAAAGAAGTCGAAAAGCTGACTTCATCTTCTAAGGGGAGATAATCGGAAAATATTTGTTGACATTTTTGGCTTAATCCACCTATTTGTAATGTATTATGAAGGTTTCAAGTCGAACTCTTCAAAAATAAAAAAAAGTTACTCAGAATTGTCACTCTTTTCACCTTTGAACTTAAAATTGGGCCATACGCATGCGTCGCAGAGGCCGCAATGCCCCGAAATACGAACAGCTACAAATTGGTGAAAACCGCATTCAAATTGGTTGAAAAACAAAAAAGTTCCCTTTGATGTCTAATATTGGTCTATTTTCGTCGATGACGTCACTTTTAAAATTTTATGTTATTCATTCACAATTCCAACTGAATACCTTTCGGTTAGTATCGAGTTTAATTCTGTAGAATATGTACTTTTTCGAAAAACGCGATGGAAAAAAAAATAAAATAAAAAATAATCCGAACAAAAACAATAGTTTTTATACTACGCAGTAGCATAAAAACTAATAATGAGGCAGGTAAATCAAAGGTTCATGGGTTTTCTATAGACGGACGTTGCCTAAAAATACCTGCGTAACGATATACAAGTATATTGTAACGTTATAAATTTTGCATAATACCATAGAAATGTTCATTAACCAAATTATAGCTGCACAATGGCTACTGCAGGACTTGAATACTAAATATCTTTAATAATAAAAAATACTTTGGGTTAGTCCAAGTATATTGTGTTGTATAACCAAGGCAAAATAAACCCCGGCATTCAAATCACATTTAGCGAAACACTTTGGGGTATAAACTCGGGAGTGCGACATCTCTTTAAAATGATAGCCAATTAGTAAATCAAGGGTAATTGACACCTGTTTATGGGATGTTAATTACAACCATCACTCAAGGTGTCAATCATTCTTTGTTCTATTACACTATGTTAAAGATCTAATGAATGTCGAAAAACATTGTGTAAAATGGTGATTTTATAGATAAAACACTAAATAAAAAAAAGCGTCATATAATCAGACCTACATTTTATTATTAATGTATTTATCTTTTCGACAAATGAAAGAGTAATGTAGAATATAGTTTTAATCAAAGATGTTTATTGTGTTTATGAGTTATAGTTGGGTGTCCTATGTTTTTCCCCATCTTTTCTTTTGTTGAGTTTTATTGATTTCACAATTCATTTATTTTTACAGTCGGTTGAGCTTAATTACACAATAACATCACTCTTTTCCAAAAATAGTACATATTATATTTTTGACTTTAGAAATATGCGTGATCCATCTGGATTAAAAATCGGAAAATTAAGGGCGAAATCTTCAAGATAGAATATTGGAACGTTTTATTAGATTTAAGTCTTCCACCAATAGGAGGATTTGATATTTTGCACATCGTAGTATTATTTGAATATTGAAGATAATATTGTCACGCATGCTTTTAAAATGGTTCTTCGTTTTATTCTGTAATATTTATGAAAATAGTTTGCTCGAGTATTTTCCTGCCAAATATCACGAAAAAATTGATTAATGATGCCATGGTCTCAATTAAAGGCGGTATTTTCATATGAAGTAGGTTGTCTAATGGAGAAAACTTGATTTTCTTAATTGATTTACTGTAGGTATATTTACCCAGGTCGGATAAAGTCTTGTGTATTTTGTACCTCGGTCGGCGTTCGATGTTTCCCCAAATCGATTGTTTTAAAAGGTAGTCGCGCGCCACATTAAGCGTCCAAATGAAGAACAGTTACCATTGTAACAATTAAAATCTACATGTGAGGTATATGTGCAATACATTTTAATTATTTCAATATCACCAAAACGATTTAACACCGATAATATCCTCAAACCCTTTATTGCCCCTTTTTTACAGTTTCTATTATTTTCTAACATCTTTTTGTCCGATGGTCTACAGGCCTCATAATGATTTGTATAAAGACCTGATCGGGAGAATACCAATAAAGAAACTACCGACATTAGATTAACATTTTATTTCCAGCCATTAATTTTGTTTCAATGAATTAGTGAAATAAAATGAAAGCCAAAAGTTGTCAGAATACTATACATCTACAAAACCCTTTCACTGGATCGGTCCATAAAATGTATTAATGCGACTATAAATATACGGAAAATATAATATTTTGTCAATGTAGCTTGGTCACATGTATGGAACAATAAGAGATAAATATTCAATGAATACGCTTTCATGAAAACCGCACCGCGAGGGCGGTGTAAAACTTGTTCAACCAGCTCTATTGACAATACATTTCAACGAAACAGGTGAAGCTAAAACACAGTCATGCGCACTGAGCGTCAATTAACCGAAGTAAATATTATAGCGAGTCATGGCAGAAAGCAAGGAAGAAACGAAATGGATTACACGATTTTAGCAGCAAGTTTTCTGGCTCTAGGGCTATACAGTAACACACTGCCTGCAGACTTTGCCTATGATGACAGGTAAATTAAATAGAATTTTAATTTAGTCCGGCGACAAACCGCGGTATTGTCATTGATTAGATTTCATTACACATTGTCATCGTACAAATTTGTGTATTTCATATAGCCTAATAGACATCCCGTTACTAGTAGAGTTATATTGAGAATTCCGATTCCGTGAAATGCAACAGTGTGGTGACTTCAAGATAGCGCTGTTTGACGGTAACCGTGTATTGCCAATTATTTACATGTTAGTACCTTTGTTGTCTAGATATTAGACATGACATATTCGAGAGTTACTGATATCTTAATGATTGACATGTGGCGAAGAATCGTCTGCTACACGAGATCTTTGAACCGGGCAAATTTTTAGTACTCAACAGTACAGTACGAAATATTAGCAAATTGCTATGTTGTGTTCTATCTCTCTTACAAGTTGGCATAACGTTGCTAGGATTCGTTTAAGGCACTTGATGGGATCCCAGTCCTATTACAGTTCACATCATGAATTACTCGAGACACAAAAGAGACCTCAAGGCTCAAATCGGTGGCTTTTAAAAACAGCTATACGCACCTTTATTCATTTCCACTCATGGGTATAAAAAGCTTTTTGGGGCTGTATAACAGGGCATTTCATATTGCACAAAAGCGGAATGGAGTTTTCATGTAAAATTTAATGACTGGGCCTTACAATTCTTTTCAATGATATTCTGTTCAGGTAGTTATTGTATAAAAACTATTTTTGTGATAATCATCAACAACTCATTGCATATGTTATTGATGGCCAGAAAATTAAAAACAAGCCAAAAAAGGAGAAATTATTGCAAATATGGATTTTATTGCAAAAATAGTTCCCTCCTATCGATGTTCAACTTTTGCAATAAAATTCCAATAATGAAACACTGTTGTCACTTAACAAATCATATAAAATGGGTATGGATATGATGTTGCTGATGATGCTTGGATACCCATCTGAATGGATGCTGGTCTGGCCCCCCCCCCCCACCTTTGCCTTCCTTCTGGTGTGCTATACTATTAGAATTTTATTGGACTTACATGAATGCAACTTTATGCACATTTCTTGGAACAGCCCCCTGGTCAGCTGCAGTATTGTGGTAATGAATGAATTATACACATGTAATTTAAAGAAAGAGGATATATATTTTTTTTACCAGTACATTTTTTGATACAAAGCAATTTTTCCATTCTGATCCTGGGTTATTTTACATTACAGTAAGTACCTATAAGAGGTAGGTTATCTGAGACTTACATGTAGTTATGCAGTTTTTCTCTGTTATTAAATCCAATAGGAAATGTTTTATCTTCACATTTATAAAAATACAGGTGATTATCATCAAACTATTATTTAGGTACAACTACAAGGCTGTATGTAGATAGTAATTATTATCATTATACTGCCTTATAGATAAATTACAGTCTTTATACAGCACACATTGTAATTACAGTATTTTAGACTCAAATATTTATATCTTAAAGAGGCATTAGGTTATTGGTGGCCTTCTCCAGATATTTTTACATTCAATACATGTACATGTAGACAAGACCTACAATTTTTTGTGTGATTTTCGATGAGTTTAATAAAACACTTAATACTCAAATAAGGTCAGTGCTTGTATATTTGATGATCAGATGATTCAAAGATTATTTAAAATTAATTACATCTACATTTATTTTTTTGTTATGAGTGATAATACCTCCTTAAGGAGAATAGATATAGACTATTGTCTCAGCGCAGGTGTTTAGTAGTGACAGTAAAATTGTTTCTAACATGAGCGTAGGTGTATCCAGCTTAAATTGGCTTTCCTGTGAAAACTTCCACATGTCGAAAACAGTTCTGGCACAGATAGTATAAATAGGCAGGCTACATCTTCTTGAATTCGATCAAGTCCAGATTTGCGCGCTTTATCAAGGACCAGTGTAGATGGGGTTCGAGTTGACCTTACATGTACATCTATACTCAATGAACAAGTTTACATTTTTTTATTCCATCTTCCTCTAGTAAACACATTGCTATTTTTATAATTTTTAGTTTATTTTCAAGAAATAATTGTGGTGTAATTGCTTTTGCTTTTTTAATGGTACACATGTAGGCATATCTATTATATGTGTCACAGGTGAAATATGTGTAATATAATATGTATTTATTAGCCATCATATTGATTGTTTTATTGTGAAACTAATAATGTTTATCAAAGACTATAAGATAAGTTTTTGAAGAGAAAAATAGGAGTATTTTATAATAAAGGCCAGGTGTTGTTACAATTTGTGTAACATATAATCAATCTGGTTAACTTAGAGATAAGGTTAATAGCCATGTTTAGACTTCTCCACCTGTTACACAAAATAGTAGAACTGAAAATTCAAAAAACGTACAAACAATTCAAAACACACCCTTGAGTTTTGTCTGTACATTTTTGTTCCATTGTCCATGATCTTTATTGGGATAAAAGTTGTGTGGTAGCAATTTACATGGTAAACACATATCTATTGTATATATGGCTTTGACAGAAGATGAATGGACTGATTGAAGGAACAGGGTAGCATAATCTCCCAACTATACATAGTACTTCATCTTCATGATCACCATTGCGGTCAAGAAATTCAAATTGGCTCCAATGCACAAATCAGGATGTTTTTTTTTAAAGAACACCTTTCCATTAACCTTACCATATTATATAGTTAAACTGTACTGAATGATTTGAAAGGAAATCATGTTTGTAATATTATCATAACAATGTATGATGATTGAGACAACTTTTCAATTGAAAACATTTACATGAAATGAAACCAGACATGCATCAGTGAGTTTTATATTGAAGTATAAAAACCCCAACAATTTTTGGGGACTACATCTACATGTAACTATTGTTTACATTTCTTTAACAACATGTACTTCATAGGTAGATTTGTTTTCTGACTTTTTTAAACATTCAATTGGATTATCCAAGAAAAAGATGTAATTTATTTTATATGTATAAGAAGATCTGATGTACAAGTCACCCGTGCATGTTACATTGGGTTTTTGTCATGTCATATTCTAACAGAAAGCAAACAAGTATCTAAGGTGTTCAAATATCAAAACAAATATTTCATTGTTATGATATTAATCATATAAATTACATCAAACATTGAATTATTTATCTGGTATCTTGACTGCGGTACGTAAAATAACATTTTAAAATCAATACTCAACTTTAATATTAAACAGGCGTTACATGTATGTAAGAGCTAAATCTGCCTATTGCAGGACTTTCTTTGGGCCTTAAATGTTATATAAATTATTAATTAGACATTAAATTATTAGCATCACAAGACCTTAATCAACAACTCTCGATGCCATCGGATGGCTCCGATTTTAAGTAGATTAGAACGGTTTGACTATTTAATGATTTAATCTAAAAATGGAGAAGCTAAGTCTTGAACAACCAGTATGATGGTTACAATCAATGCATACATCTTGCCAAAACTACAACCATTGACAACTTTGCTCAAAATAAATTTTGAATGAAATTTTCAATATATTCATTTTGCATTAATTATTTTTTAAATTTAAATATAGTGAGAATGGCCAGCTCTTTATCTAAATTATACATAATGTCCCTTTAAATACAAGGGTACTGGGACAATTCACTCATTTGGATTGTCTTTTTTACTTGTTTAACTTTCTGAGAAATGTTTGGTGATTGGAGAACATTTTTCTAAATGAAGATGCTGCTCAGGAAATATATTCATAAGCTCAATGATTTTACCTTTGATATTGTAGATATGTGTATTGAGTGGTCACAGAGTTTAAGTGATGTATGGCATCTTTTAAAGACCAGGTATCTAAACAAGAGGTACAAGTGGCAAGTGGCCATTGTTATTGCTGATGAGGCTCAGGTTTCTTTTACCTGTCAATACTAACAGTATAAAAGACTTGTACACGTGGCTAATAAAGTATCAGTCATAATGTAAACATGGTCACTCTAATCCCTTTATACATCTGATAAACCATTTTGTTACTACATAAAGGATTGCCAAGCTGGTTCATTGTCAGCGATATCACTTCGGTGGAAGGGGACGAACCGACAAGGTTTTAGTTATGGGTTAGAGTATTAACTTTCTCTGGTGATTTTCAAATTAATACATTCAATATATTTATGAAATCAATAGGTAATAAGATGTATTTGAAACTATATATGGTGATCCATCAGTGAAGAAAACCTTTCCAAAAATGAAAAAAAAACACCATAATAAATCCACTAAAGTGGTTGAAATTTGATTCAAGTTTTAATGTGAGATTTGTATTGTTTCTGGAATCAGTTGTGTGGCATGTATTCTGAATACGAGTGTTTGTGCTTTGCTCTTAATGTTGCGACACTGTAATATTTAACACATAGGCTCCAAATGTTTTGGTGTGTGAAATTTTTGAGATGTTAAGACATGATACAATAGTTGGGTATTGTTGTCCACGGACATATCAGTGAAATAAATACACTTCTAACATTATTAAAAAAAGAGAAGATATTGAAATATCCTCTAATACACACTGAAATACTGTTTTCACATTTTCTTTGGATAATGTGTGACCAACAATTCAAACAAAAACTGCCTACCACTGACTCCAGTGATGTGGTTGATAGCAAGACTACATTTTAGGTAGATTTAAAAGAAAAAATACAATTGAAGGAATATACATGTTGGCAGGTCATGTTTCTCCCAGCACTGAGTTGTTGTAGTGAGATGGTTGTCTCCAACTTGACGATACACCATGAATAAACGTTGGTAAGATGGAGGTAAATACTCAGTGCAGTCTCACAGTGTTGTTACTGTTTTTATTTTACCTGGTGACTACATTACATAATTCTGACTTTAAAAGCCAATGGAAGAAGATTGGAGTAAAGGTTAATGTAAACTGTCACTTTAACACCCAGTATGACTATAACACTATGCATAGATTTAATATATTTAGATGTATTTGTTTGTGTATGTTTGTTTATAATACAGGTACAGTAGTTTTA